CAGGTATACAAGAAATTTCTTGCCTTCTGTGGAAACTGAATATTCATGTTCGTGTTTTCGAGAGCCCGTCACTGGACTGTATCTTGAGCCAGATGAATCCAGCCCACATTCTCACTCCTTGTTTCTCTTACATTATTTTCGTATAAGGTAAAGGAAACCGTAACAATTCTCGGCTGAATATTAGCACATGTTTTTTAATTTGTTCCAATATTCTTCAGTTGTCTTGCCAAATTACTAGTGATATTTTCTATAGCTTAGTATTAATTACTCAACTTCAGCGTTAAATTACTTTAGTTTTGGAATCCGATTATTAAAATTACACACGCACACACATGTGAATTTGAACTAGGAGGAGAACGTAGCAATGGTTTATATTAAAATATATATTTTCCTGGTATTCGTTGGTGGTACTAGGGAGAAACACGGAACGACCCCATCTAAGTTGTCAATTGGCTTAAAACTCACTCAGTTGCCTGGAGTACGCCTTACAGAGGGCCTTTGATTTAAAAACGGAAACAAATTACCAGTAAACCCGAGATATACACAAGTAGTATTTCATAAGCACGCGACCTAAGGTTAAACCACCGATTTGCTTAATCAAGTACCTGAATATTGTCTACACCAGAAGAAATGACGGTAATGACGTCATTATTTGGCGGCTAGAGTCTCGTTTGCGAAAACGAGGTATACTGCTTGAAGGTACGATTGACGTCAGAGAAGGAGACCCGCCTCTCGTCTTGACATTTAGGCTGCATGTCTCCTGAGTTAGGACAACCAAACAGTGGCTGGAATTCAAAGTGCGTTTGTCTCAATTGAGTGTCGGAACTCTGCCGGGAGCTGTGTGTTGAGAGATGGCAAGGGTTTGTCTCTGTTGCGCAACAGGCATACCAATAAACGCGAAGTACAGGGGTCACGCCTACCTCCAAAACGTAACTCCTCTGCGCGCATAAGTGTCCTTGAATCTTACTTTAAGAACGGAGAAACTACATTATAGTTCCACCCCTAACTGTTGGAGAATGGAAATCATTATATCTTCAATTTTTCTCTCATTCCTGCTTTCCTTTTCTTCAAATTTTCTTTTTTATTTTTTGCTTTCCTTATTTCTCTCATTAGTCTTTTTTCTTCTTCCTTACTTTCATCTTTTATTTATCTATTCGATTATTTAATTCTATCTATCTATCTATCCATCCATCCATCTACCTATCTATCCATCTATGTATCTACCCATCCACCTATCGATCTATTCATCTGTCTATCTATTTATCTGTATCTCTGTCTGTCTGTGTCTGTCTGTCTTGATCTCTCTTGGGCTATTGCTGTGCTTTTATGAATATGTAATCGTCAATCTGTAAACGCAGTTCGTTTCAGTTAACTGAAATAAAAGAATAAATTACATTACATGCATGAAAGCTATTATAACTCTCTAATTTTGTATGCAAGAAACTGGTAATTACATTTGCACTTGAGTTTTCATAAAACTTTTGAATTAATATATTAAACTGCAGCGAGTTCTCTCATCAGCCCGTAGCAATTAGAGCACCGGTAAATTATAATGAAACAGCAAGGGAATTGTACGCAGGCTGAGGTGACATGTCTGTCATTATCTTTCTTATTCTACTTTATAATTACTGATATTCTCTGTGACATTTAAGTGTCACAGCCGTAACTGTGAAGCGGCATATTCTCGTAGAAGTTCACTGATGTTTTGAAGAAACTAATAGACTAGAGGCCAAATGTCAGAAGATATTACTCCTCAGTGTTACTTTATATTGTAGCAGAGCTCTCTTAATCTATTACACGTATTTTCTAAAACTCCCAGCTTTAAACTGTGATTATATCAATTTAGCATTTAACCTGTACTCATTTAATTTACATTTTAGATGCATATGTCGTCCTTACAATTGTCCAGTCCACTTACCACAATTCTTTCCTCGCAGTTCTACTAACGAGTTTCGTGTACCAGCCTGTCCGTCCATTAAAACCCTGTTTCAAGTACTGACACAAGTATTACAGGCACAAGTAGGAAGATATTTTTGAAATTCGGATTGTATATGACGACATTAGATTCCATCGCATTGTGGCACTTCTTACATCTGTCTTCGGTAATACCAACATCGCGGACCGACAAATTCCAGCTCAGGACATTTACCTCTAAAAACTGCATGCAGTAGGGTACTGAAGAAATTAATAATCCTTCATCTATTCAGGAAATTCCGAACAATTTTGGAACCCGAATGTTCGTTGTAGCAGTCATGTGACATCCTTCGGGCCCTATCCTAAACCAGTTGAATCTGGTACGTATCCTCACGTGTTTCTTTATGATTTATTTTAATATTATTTACATATCTGCTTTAGGTCTCCCCTGTGGTTTCCAGCATCCAGTTTATCCTGTTAAAAGTTTGGAAGTATTTTTCATATTTCCCGTGCCTCTTACATGCCACGTCCATCTCAGCCCCTTAATTTAATTTCATGACTATAATTCGTAGAGGAATTCTGTGAACAGTAATGAAGTTTTGGGTTCCACAAAATGCGTGGATTTTTTTGACTAGCTGAGCTACTTTCATTTTCTCAATACTGACTCTGCTTCATGGAATTTATTAGTAGCTAATGCGGAATCTATGTAGCTTACAAACATAAATATTAGTTACAAGTGGGGAGACATGTGAGGAACAGATCACAGCCAATTTTAAAGGAATTTTCCAAATTTTCATTACAGAAAAACTCCTGAAGGAAAGTCAGAAAACGTGATTTCCTGCCGGGACTGAATAAGGTCTGCAGAGTGCGTGTGAACATTTTCATGTCCTCTCTCCGGGAGGGAAGTTAAAATGGTTGCACAATTTATTAAAATAGACAGTTACTGCCTCCCTCCATCGAAAGATAGAGCGCGTCAACCCTGGCCATTAACATGACTGGGCCCGTAATTACATCACTAAAATTTTGTTCTCTATTTGCATGCCAGTGGTGTGTAACATGAAGGTACGTTACGGTGTTAACAACTCTGACCTCTATTGTAACAACACACGGCTGGAGAAGTGCTCTGTTACGAGGCGACGTGCACAGGAATCTAAATGCTTTCCCTCGTCCTTCATTGGTTTTAATGGTCATATAATTCAGAGTAAAACTATATGTATATACAATCACGGCGTAGGCCCTTTTTCCAATTATTTTTCCAGGGTTAAGATTGGTCTTTCCATTGAATTTTGCATATTTCTGCCTTTCTTTTCCTATCAGCTTATGTGAAAACAATTAATAGAAGATTAAGTATAGATACATCCTCACGACATGTTCCAGCCATATAGATATATAGCTGTCAATGTCTTACAGGTATTTGCTATATTTATTTAGTCATATTTCCTCCTTCTCTTCGTGATAATTTAATGAGTATGCAGCCAATGCCATCAAATTTATCTGTTTATGACTGTACAGCCCTTGTGAAACTGGGCAGCCTTTTCAGTTTCCTAATCTATACACAGTCGATAGGACTCCTTGGACAGGGGATCAGCCCGTCGCAAGGCCGCTGCCTACACACAGAACAACACAAACACAGAATAAACGCATATAGACATTCATGCCTTGAGTGGAATTCGAACCCACGACCCTAGTATTCGAGCGGGCGAAGGCGATTCGTGCCTTAGACCGCGCGGCTACTGTGATCGGCATGATATCAAATTTATTGTTTAAAATTCTAAGCGGCAACGAAACAATACACTCTGTAAATGTCACGAGTTGTCATATATTCAGTACATACACACAACACAGAAAAATATTTCCAATAGAACTTACAGACATTAAGAATATGCAGTATGCAAAACGGATCTATCTGTACCTTTGACAAGCGAACTTAGAACATTTTTCACTAGAAGCGATTTGAACTCATTATGGTTTACAGGGACGGATACAAAGAAGGGGGAAATTTTCCTGGCAAAGTTTAATATAGACACTCCACTCTAAATGTAATGTCAAACCATTAAATTAATTTAGAAAAGAAACATATTGAAGACGCTCGGACTTACATATACACACGACATCCACATAACGCCTTCATTTTGTCCACCAAAGGCAAAATACACACAGTAAAATTGAATTATAACTCTGCAGTCTTCGTACAAGTTTCCTATGAACTAAATCTTGACTCTGATATAATAATTATTATTAATTTATTTTTAATTATTATTTATTAGTTTTAATGGTAACCATAATACCCAAAGTGGTCCTATATGAGAAGAGCATACGAAGAAGACTATTTGATCCCAGGAGAGAGGAAGTGAGAAGAACTTGGGGAAATAGCGCAATAGTCCTATTAAATTTACACCAGTAGGATTCTGATTTTCAAAGTTATTCTGTTCCTGACTTCCCGCCTCGGACACTCCACTACCGAATCAGCCTTACCGCCTTACAATATGGACGCCGCTATTATGAGAAGCAGCGCTAAAACCATATTTTTCTTTGTCTGGATCTTCAGACAATGAAACCGTCAATTCCCACAAAAATGTAGGGATGTAACGATCTTGAATACTCTCTTGAGTGCTTTTAAACTCACATTAAACAGCACATCCTTATGATTCTGACAGAAAAAAAAAGTGGGAGCATAATTAAAATATAATACACAAAAAACATTTTGTCTAAATCAGCATCACAAATCATGCTGTGGTGTTACTTGGTCTTTTGCAGAGTACTTAATATCAAGGAGATATTCCGTGTGTTAGCTGAAGTACCATGTCACTTATTGCCAAAAAAATCGAATGACTGTAGGACTTAAACTATTGTGAATCCATGTAAGATTTGATTCCCACGTATAAATTCTGGTTAGCTCACGTTTTAGCAGGCAGTTTTACCCACGTGCAACTCCACTAAACTAAGAAATTCTGCGACCTACTGCTCTTCCTTCATACCATTTAAAAGAGTGCATGTTTAAGGTTTAATGCCCTTATCCGAACGAAACTTGCTTATGAAATTCTCATTATTCTGTGGATAATTACTGGGTGAACACATAGCCGTACCTGTTAAAATGATGAGGGTTAACAGTGCCAGAGGCCTCAACAGTCCACCGATGTCGGCCATAGTATCACCACTGGTGCAGTACTCAACTGTTTACTTCAAACACACATAATTCAGTTAATTAACTAATTTGTTTCAGTCACGCGTCATGTTTTCCGTCTCGCTTCGTAGGATCATATCCACTTATTTTACTGATTTTCCAAATTCATTGCACGTTTCTCTTTCATCAACACGTACTGCAGTAAAGATACACAGTTCCACTAGCATTTAAATGTTTTGTGAGTATTACACGTTTCTAATTTAAATGCTTTGTAAATATAATTTGAAGTAATAGTCCTTGATCATAAATAGTCTCTAAAACTACGTAAAAAAATCAAAATATCCTACACTTAAACTGTCAAAGTAGGCGAAACATGAAGTTTAACTTGTACGTGTAGTGTTTGAGACACAAGACACCGTCCTAGCATCAGGGCTGTTCATTAACTGCAGATATGCAGCCACAGTCACATTGTCCCAATGAAACAACACACTCAGCGCAGTGGCTTCACAGCGCTTTGTGCTAATATCGTGTGCATTTCAATTGCTCTGTAGTCCTGATGAGAATGATGACATCAATTCTTGGCCCCCACTCCCCGCTAGCAGTCTGTTATCTGCGAATAAGACGTGCAACACACACATGAAGTTAAGAGAGTCAGTCGTGAAGTGCACAACGCAATTTCAGACGGCAGCCACCCTCAGATCATCACTTCTACTTGTCCACCAACTGCAGATGCAAAGTCGAACCAAAATATTTCAAGCCAAAGTATGCATGGAATTCTCGGTTATTCACGCAGCAATGATTAATTTTCTGTATTCTAGTCGATAACATGTGCATTGATGAATGTTTTGTCGAAATCGATAAAGGGATCCACACGAATTAAAAACTTAATTAAACGAGGGGGGGATTAAATAATGCACACAATACTGCATTCCACTCCGGTAGGCGTGGGTTTCAGTACCCCGGGCATGGCGCGCCAGCCAGCCAGCCAGCACACTCGAGCTTCTGGTGGTATGATAGTGACGACGCCAGAACCAACTCTCCCTCTGACCCGACTGGCACTGCGCACCGCACAGCGACGCTCAATACGCTGAGCTCCCCCGTGCAGGGCACCCCGCCAGCCCGCCGCAAGGAGTGTCTGCACACAACCTCACCGCCACCAACACATCACATTTTCTCGAGCTTGTTGACAACGCGATTTTTTATGCCAGTATTACCGCCAGTCCACCCCAGAGTGGCGAAGCGATTGTATCATTACTTGGTGCGGAGTAAAAACAAAACAGAGGCGGTAACCACCGTCCAAACTCAGAATATTTCCACTTATCGATTCATACTGTGAATCGTATCTGTTATACAGAAGAGTATAATAAGCAATACCCCCTCCTGTTCCGCTTTTCGTATTTGCTTGAACAGAGTTCTGAGCTACCCAGTATCGTGCACGGTGAGTTTCATAGACACTCCAGCCTGTTCCACTTAAAATAGAGAGCTGTTAATCGCATCTATCTACATATGCAAGTTCACGCGAATGTTATATTTGGAGTCGGAAAGGGGAGACGATGCTGAAACAGACACACTGTTTGCCGAGTCACGTTTTTATTTTTCCGGAAACCGTAAAACAATACTTCAGGCTATAAACGGGATCACTGTCTACAGCCCTCAGCAAGGAACTGAGTCTATATCTTTCTGCACATTGTCCATTCTTCCTTGCATACAGGGTCTCCGTCTTTGGTTATTTATTCGGTTACCTTGGGGAACTATAGGGCCGGTCAGTTCCGAATGATATATGCCTGGCTATGGTTAACATAAAGGCAAGCATGTCGATGAATGATGCCATGGGGCGCCACGCATAATGGGTCGTATAGACCCGTTGCTAGGCAGGGATCTCGAAGCAAACAACGGGAAGTCGGCCGTTGCTCTGCAACAGCGGCAAGCACGCCCCTACAACAATAGAGTTATTGCTCGGTAAACACGTTCCCGTGGCAACGGTTACGCATGGAATGAGAGAAACATGGCGTTGTCTACGCTGTATGTGCCAGGAAGTAGTAAAAAGGAAAGAATTGAGGCAACCGGTCAGTTGAGTTCTGCACGGGAGGCTGTGAAGCTAAAACTGAGTGCGTGAAACTTAAGAATCCCCACTGATAGAAGCCTCTGTTAGGGAAATGTTGATAAAGACACAGTAGGCTGGATAAAGGTTTAGTGGGTGCTGTGGTGATTTGTCAAGTGTTGAGATCGGCGATAGCCCCGTAGTAGCTGTGTTTGTAGTTCCGAGTGGCGTGTATAAGTGTCAATAAATTCATTTACCAATCCATGCCCCTTCTATAGTGACACACCTAAGTCGTGACAACAAATTACTCTCCTGATTCTGGTACAGATTCGAACACAGTACCTATCAGAAGAAAGCATAAGACGCTATAATTAAAGTATTGTGCTCGAAAATGTGCCTGGATCCAGCAGAAGCGGTATAAAGCCTATCTTATCTTGCTACAAGTTTCACATTCAACTGGTACACTCTGTTATAAACGAGGGACTGGAGACAGAGCCATAACTTTGTAACCACGAAGTTACTTATACAGAAAATACCAATGTAAAATGTAGATTAAATTGTCCTAAAGTTTAGCATAAAATTTTTGTTCTGATTACAGGAAGCAGTGGTTACATATTTCAATGTAATATCCCAGCATTCGCCCACAGAGACTGAGGAAAAGCATGAAATATCTCGCATAAGAGAGCCGTAGTACGATCTAAATTCGAATTATGTTATCTCGAAATGAGTCTGGAATATTACATCATATATCAGCTGGTTTAAATTTGTGTAATTTGTTACCAATCGGGAATAACAAATTCAGTTGACCATTGACCAGCTTTGTACACTTGGATTCCACGTTGCTAATGAGGAGTACTTTGAACGAAATAGTAATTTTATCATTTATAATCTCCGTCTGATTTTCTATGGCTCTACAGTCCTTTGTTGGGTCTTGGATGTTTTTTTCAGTTTCTTGATCTTTTTACACAGTCTGTAGGACTCCTTGGACGAGGGATCAGCCCGTCGCAAGGCCGCGACACATACATGCCTCAAATGGGATTCGAACCCACGGCCCCAGCGTTCGAGCGATTGAAGGCAGTTCACGAAATAGACATCGCAGCACTGAGATTCGTTATTTCCAATCTCCACTGGCCATAATAAATCTTCCATCTCAGTGGAACTTGAATTTAGGCAACAGGATAGAGTTTATTTGGATACGGCCCCTCTAAATCAATATTTTCAGAAGCTGATCCAATTTTGTATTATGTACCCCTTAATCACCTGTTTGCCTCGGGGCTCGCAGACATGTGGTTTCAGAATTTCGAAACTAATGGAATACGTAAAATATTAATTGCTCTGCATCGAGCGAACGATGCCACACAGATGCCGACTGTAGTGCAATTAAAACTTGTCGGTTAGCTTTTTTTGCAACATCGTTTTCGGACCGACAGGTTGAGATAAAACAAATTCAAGAATCACTCAGCTTCCATACTGAAATTTGCTATGTGGACAGAACAGACAGACCTACGCAGCATTTTAAATTTTGTTTACATCATCTTATTCATGTCTTTGTATGCTCAGCCGTTGAAGTGGTTCATGCAATTTTGATCTTCAAACAAGGCTATTAAATGTTGGTTTGCGCTTTATGCTCAACTGTACTACTGTGAATTTAGACATATCAGTCCACTAAGAGGACTACAAACAATTTCATTCGTTCTCTTCAAAGCCGTGAACAAATCTCCGCGCCACTCAAGAATAGCAAGATACATTCAGACTACAAGCGCGTTCAAGTACTACTGCGGTTTGTGCAGTCTTTTTGTCCTTAATTGCCTCTCATTTTGAGAATATTATTGTACTTTTTGGATATTTAACGACGTTATTTGCAGATGTAAAATGTAAATATTATCGTTTTAATTCTATTTAAGTATTTATTGCTTATTTAACGACGCTGTTGACTTCTGTTTATATAGCACAGTACGGTAAGATGATTCCTCCCAAAGGTGTCTCCACCTTGTCGTGGTGGTGGGGCTTGCGTCACTCTGTGACCTGGAGAGCTATGCCGGCGGTAGTTTAACTTCAGCAGGGTCACCCATGCCGGAAAGGTCAAAGGATAGAGCCCAGACTAAGAGAGATACCCTGGTCTTCCAGGTGTGGGGTTTGACATGATGCTAACAACCTCATCCTGTAAAAAGAATTTTGTTCAGAAACCTAACAACCAGCCTCGGGTCATCATGCGTGTGTCCATTCCTACGGTAGCACGCATTGGCTGTGGAGACTGGTTGTAGAGGAGGCCAAGGCTCACCTAGGGCTGTAGCGCCGAGTGGTAGGTAGGTAGGTAGGTAAGATGATTAGTGAATAATTCATTGGAAAGAATGTGGAAGGAAATGGCCGTATCTTTATTTTAGGCACAATTGCAGCAACATTTGTCTATGGGAACTGTAGAAGTCCACAGAAAGTCTATGTGCGGATAGTCTATGCCCTGGCCGAGATTCGAATTAGGCACCTCTTTAAAGAAGACGTAGTCGTTTACTTCAAGGTACTGTTCTGACTTGCGTGTACAAATTAACATAACAGCAGTGATCTGTAAGTCAGCAGGGATTCCAACAATTTACATCCATAATGCAAGTTAGAAGTGTTACGTCTCAAGCCAACTTGCTGGGTAAAACACTGTCACACGTGTTAGTGACTATAGACGGGGTTTGGATTTGTGAATAGGTCTATTGACCACTTAGATGCCGTAGCTACAAATAGCACTATTGCTGATTTCCACACTATAAGTCTTCTCAGTCTGCTATCATTAGTCTTTACTTGGTAACAGCTCTCAACAATGGCCATTCCTCTACAATGTTTTTCTAGATGATCTTATCAATTGAGATTCTTCAGCTTCCGTTGCCAGCTGGTTAACATTCTACAACAGATCCTTCAACTCAACTATAGCGCCAATTTTCTTCAAGATAACTCCTCGGCACGGACGACGCAGAAAACACAGCCTCTCAATAGCTGAGGAGGCGTGTTTACTGTTGCGTTGCATAGCAAAGGACGCGTCGCAGATCACATTGAAAACGCCGCTCTTCTATTGTTGAGTGCGTATTCATTTCTGCGAGAACGTATTTACCGAGCCGTTGCTTAGAAACGGGGTTGCATAACCTCGTTGTTCTCTTGTTGCTTGCGTGTATGTTGCGGGCGTTACCTAGCAACGGCCGTTGTTTACAGAGTCGCCGTTTAACAACGAGTCTATACGTCACAGTATCGTAATAAACGGGGAANACTATAGCGCCAATTTTCTTCAAGATAACTTCTCGGCACGGACGACGCAGAAAACACAGCCTCTCAATAGCTGAGGAGGCGTGTTTACTGTTGCGTTGCATAGCAAAGGACGCGTCGCAGATCACATTGAAAACGCCGCTCTTCTATTGTTGAGTGCGTATTCATTTCTGCGAGAACGTATTTACCGAGCCGTTGCTTAGAAACGGGGTTGCATAACCTCGTTGTTCTCTTGTTGCTTGCGTGTATGTTGCGGGCGTTACCTAGCAACGGCCGTTGTTTACAGAGTCGCCGTTTAACAACGAGTCTATACGTCACAGTATGGTAATAAACGGGGAATAGGTTAGTATTTGAAGGAAGGAGGACTTAGTCTAATCCAAAGCACTGCCTTGGCTTTTGTCTGAAAATATCGAATACAACTGCGTTAGCCAGTAACACGGCAGAGATTCGATAAGGCACCTTCAGAATAAAACGTCTAGAGCAGTACCGTTAGAGCAGTCATCAGCAACAGACCCACAAATATCGCAGTAGAGCTGTTCGTACTTCGGAGGTTCCAGGATTTGCTTTCTTTCTTCCCTCCAGGTGAAAGACGGAATAATACGAATGGCATGATAAATGCGATTCACAATCTGTAAAGGATATGAAAGGAATCAGTTGTCGCCTGTTTCATTTATATTTTGTCGGAACTCGAGACAACCGGTTCCTTCCACAACCTTCAGAGATTGTAAATCGCATTTATCATGCCATTTGACGCTGTATAAACCCAGCAGTTCAGGTATCAT